ACACTAAAGCATAACTGAAGCATACCACAATATATTCGTGAAAACCGCATCCAACTCAGATCAGCCGTTTCTGAGATTAGCGTGAACAGACAAACAGACAAACAGACAAAAAAAAAGTTAATTACATTTTTGGGTTCGACATCGACATAACAATAACCCCTGCTATTTTTTTTATTTTTATTTTCAATGTACAGACATTTCAATGTACAGATATATATATATATATAGATATAGATGTAGTATAGTCGAGTAATTAAACCGAGGTAGTCTAGTTTAACTAATTGTCCTTACTGACTAAACAGTTAACTTTGAACTTACAATTAAGGTTATTACAAATAATTTACCTTTATATAAGTTAGTCGTTATTTGAAATGGCATAATCGTTTAAATTATACGTATTGATATAATTAATGATTATATCAGTGTTGTATGACTTTGAAATTTGCAAAACATTATGCCATGCTTCAGTGTTGGAGAGCCATGCTTCGGCACGAATAGGTTTAACTGGAGTTATACCACGGCCGAGCAGAAAACCGACGTGAAACAACGCTTGCGTTGTGTTTCGTCGTGTGAGTGAGGTTTCCGGAGGCCTAACTCTCTGTTCCTATTCCTGCACGTAGATCTTGAGCCCCGGCAACCTTTTAAGTCATCCGCGGCTCCGTATCGGGCATCAGCCCTACTGGGTTCCACCTGTGGTGGGTTTTTTTTTGAGGACGAAAAATCATCCAATGACTTCTCTCCCCCGGGTGAGGCGAGAGGGACTGTCAGACTCTTACTGACTAAATACCATCCTGTTCCTACTCCTGCAATTCGTGCCGGAGTCACGGCAACCCGTTAAGTCTTTCGCAGCTCCGTATCGGTATCAGTCCTGTTGGGCTCCATCTGTGGTGGTCTGATGGCTCTTTGAGGCGAGCACGGAACACGACGCATCTTACACATGGATTTGTTTCTGGTCGGGTGGCAAACTACTCTTGCTCGCCATCCGCATACCCGCATTTAAGATGGCCAGAGATTGTCACGCGGTTTCCGACGCTCGGTGTATCTTTCACAACGGCTGGGGCCTGAGGAGGTTCGTTCCCTCACGCGCCCCGCCTCCTTAGCTAGCATGACTGCTTCGCAGAAGGAGGAGACGAGAGGAGACTTACAAAATCCCTGAGAAATTTTAATTAACCTGGGTGTCAAACCTGAAACCTTTAACTCTACTTGTAATCACTGTACCAACGAGGTAAGTTAACCACAGTCATTCTAATACATATTAACAATCATAATTGTACTTTCCCTGTATACACCATAATTAGAAACGTCATGATGTTAACATCTATCTTAGAAGCTAATCTTTACACTCTCTTTAATCGGGGTAAGCAGAGACGTAAGTATTGTTAAAGAAAATATATTATGTAGATGTTAACTTCTGTCATTGGCTTTGCCCGCGTTCCAGTGGGATATAAAGTAGCCTATATGTTATTCTAGACGATAATCTACCCATTTTCCAAATTTCATCACGATCGCTTCAGCCATTTTGACGTAATTGAGTAATAAACATAACATAACATCACGCCTTTTATCCTCAAAGGGGTAGGCAGAGGTGCACATTATACCACTGTACAATGTAACACCCACTTGTCACTATTTATGTTATGAGTCCCATGTAATAGGGGGTGAGCCTATTGCCATATACCGGGCACAGTTCGAGACTCCGTGCTACTACTGAGAATTTTTTAAAAACCCAGTAATACTTTGCCCGACCCGGGAATCGAACCCGAGACCCCTTGCTCGGCAGTCGCACTTGCGACCACTCGGCCAACGAGGCAGTGAGTAATAAACACACACATAAAAGCATTCACAAAATTTCCTATTTATAATATTAGTAAGATATATTACTCACTATGACATGATACTCTTAACAGAAGCCATATGGTGATAGGGAGTAGAATACATTTGTCACCACCGCTACTCTTCCCCCGGGTGTCATATACCCGACTAAGACCCTACGCATTAGACAGAGACCGGGCAGCAGCGCTCTCTGATAAACCTGAACCTTTTATACTGCGATCTCCAACCCGCCTGCCTGCGGAGATTATGACAAACCCCTCTTATGTAGAGGAGGCTCATAGTGCAGCAGTGGACTGTCACGGACTAGTGATGTTAAATAATTAAACCTGCCTGATTGTGGGAGAGCCATGCTTCGGCACGAATGGGCCGGCTCAACCGGAGTGATACCACGACCGAGCAGAAAACCGACGTGAAGCAACGCTTGCGTTGTGTTTCGTCGTGTGAGTGAGGTTACTGGAGGCCTAATTACCCCCTCCCCCTTCCCAAATCGCCCTAATCCCTGAATCCCGAACAATCCTCAAACTCCTAATCCCTAAACGGCCGGTAATGCACTTGTAACGCCTCTAGTGTTTCGATTGCTTATCATCAGGTGATCCGTCTGCTCTAACCGGATTATCCCATAAAAACCCTAATAAACACATACTTAATCACAAAATAACCCAAATTCATCGGAAAAGATAAACATATACACCTAAAAAAATTCCTAAACGGAAAATCCCTCAATAACACTCGCACGACCCAAGAATCGAACCTAAGGCCTCGTGCCCGATTATTATTATAGTATTTAAAGCGTTAAAACCGCGGCAAGCAAATGCATACTAATTCAAGAAGTCATTATAGCGAAACTGACTATAAGTGGCGTATATTACAATTTCTGTACGGCTTCAAGTCATAAGTTGCTAGCTTCGACCAGCGATTTCATTTTTTTTTTCTTTTTTTTAAACGTTGCCCCTCACTAGTATTTTCTTCTGAGTCGTGGGTTGTTTTTGTACAGCGGCAAGTACCAATGCCTCGGCCAATGCCTGCAATGGGCTCGGAGGTTTAAGACGCCTGCTTCTCATGCATGAGGGTGCGGGTTCGAAACCTACCAACGGCATGTACCAATGTGACTTTTCCGAGTTATATGTACTTTCTAAGATTATTTAGACACCACTGACAAACGGTGAAGGAAAAACATCGTGAGGAAACCCGGGCTTATAATTTCTAATTATAAGTTTGAAATCGCCAACCCGCATTGAGCAAGCGTGGTGATTAATGCTCTAACCTTCTCCGTGTGAGAAGAGGCTTTGCTCAGCAGTGGGCATTTATAGGTAGTTGATGATGAACTACCAATGTAACTTTTTCCGAGTTAGATCATAACATAACATTACCCCTTTAAGGCCTGAAGGGGTAGGCAGAGGTGTGGTACACATTATGCCACTGTATAATGTAACACCCACTTTTCACTATTTATGTTATAAGTCCCATGTAATAGGGGGTAAGACTATTGCCATATATCGGATATAATTCCAGATTCCGTGCTATTACTGAGAATTTTTAAAAACCCCGTAATACTTTGCTCAACGGAATCCGAGACCCCTTGCCCGGCAGTCGCACTTACGACCATTAGCCCAACGAGGCAGTTAGTACTAATACCAATGCAATAAAAATTAATTTGCTAACACATAAAAATATGAATATTAAACATGTATTCATGAGTGTCCAATTTCTTATGACTTGCACAGTGACTCAGTTGCATTGCGAAAATCGGATGGCAATGTGTTGTAAGTAAAAATTACACAAATCGTATACGATGCTAAAATTTCGTTGCACTGGAGTTTTAGAGCAGGCTTATAGTGATATTTGTTTGGATAAAGGGTGGGCAGAAAGCCTATTACACTTCTACCTACGTTTTAAGTGTGGAAGAGCCATGCTTCGGTATGAATGGGCAGGCTCAACCGGAGTGATTCCACGGCCGAGAAGAAAACCGACGTGAAACAACGCTTGCGTTGTGTTTCGTCGTGTGAGTAAGGTCATCGGATACCCAATTACCCCCTTCCCCAATCTTTCTAATTCCCAAATCCCTAGCAATCCTCAAATTGTTATCCCCCATGCCACCAGCAACGCGATGGTAACGATTCTGGTGTTTCGGGCGTCCATGGGCAGCGCTGTTGCGTACAGGTGATCCGTGTACTCGTTTACCGGCTTGTTCCATAAAAACAAAGAGTCAGTTAGGTTACCGGAAGCCCTCCATCTCCCCAATCCCCGAATCCCCAACAATCCTCAAAATCCTAATCCTGCTGCGAGATGCGCGTGTCCAATTACCCAATTGTCAATTGCCAAATTTAGAGTGCTCTCTAAGTTTATCCACCTTTGAGGTAGCATAACATCACGCCTTTTATCCCGAAGGGTTAGGTAGAGGTGCACATTACGGCACTTAATGCCACTGTCCAATGTAACTTCCACTTTTCACTATTTATGTTATGAATCTAATGTAATAGGGGGTGAGCCTATTGCCATATACCGGGCACATATGACAATGATGATATTGTTTTTTTAATCCAGTAATACGTTGCTCGACCTGGGAATCAAACCCGCAGCGGTAGCACTTGCCAACGACGCAGTCTTTGAGGCAGTCCTTTTAATCCCAGAAGGGGAAAAAACAGGAACAATCATGGTTTCCTGTTGATCACTGCTACACTATGGACCTTATCTACATTGAAGAATTTAATAATGCAAAAATGGTCACCCATCAAAATCCTAACCTCGCTAACTGACGCTTAACAACTTTCCCAGATAACTTTGCAAGTGGAATTTAAATATAATAACCTCGAAGGTAGTTTTCGGAAATACTGCAAGGTCACCCATCTTATTTTTAACCGCAGTTCACGTTGCTTAACATGGGTTTAGTCATATTATGACGTGGTTGAAATTTTCCATTATATTCGAATTTAATTTTTATGTCACGATCAATGACATAATGTAGCATCACGCTTCTTAGTTTAAGGATAAGCAGAAGTACTTATGTCTATACCTCAATATACCTACAGATTAAAAATACAAATTATACACTAAAAGATTTTCACGGCTAAAATAATCGATCTCAATCCCACAATAAATTCTCCGAAAATCTGAGACCGAATTTTCCGAATCCGACTTTTACGATATTTCCAAATTTTTCGAAATGCGTATTTTTCTGCAAATTCTCACACAGACAACAAAACATATTATTGTCGTTAAAAACAATAAAAACAATATAAAAAAAAAATTGTACATACCAAATCCCAATTTCTTCTGCTGTGATATAAGCATACTGATAGGTACTCGACGGTCCGGGTTCGGTGCTAGCCCGAACAAATGGTTTCGGGCTGTCTGGGTGACTGTTAATCGCGTCATCTTGGTAGAGTTGTGATCTGGTCTCCGCTACATGTGTGGTGAATCTGGAAAGAGGGGAAAAAAATATTATTATTATTTTATTTTTTTACACTTTATAGGTCGACGTTTGACCACCATCTCGCCTGATGGTAAGCGATGATGTGGCCGGAGCACGCCTACCTATGAGCAACCTGTTCACTCGGGACTTGAAGACACTCAAGTCATATTTGACGGGAAACACAGTCTCTGGCAAGGAGTTCCATTCCTTAGCGGTTCGCATGAGGAAGCTTGACGCGAAACGCTTCGTTCGAATGGGTGGAATGTCCACCATATAAGGGTGGCGCCGCGCCGTTCGTCTGGTGGTACTGTGGCACACTATATCGTGGGACACACTAAATTAACTAAAAATCGCGGGTTACTCACGTGAATATACTGAGATGATTGTCAGTATGCATAATATGTGAGCACCATGTTAGACTGTAAGATTTTTTTTTTATTATTATTTTAGTAAGGTTTGTAATTAGTCTCTATAATGCGTCAAGCGTGTCTTTGCATTGTTGTCACATATACGTACAGTATTGGAATATGTATCAGAGACATTGTAGAACATACTTTTTTAAAAAGAGTACCGAATGGAGTTTCTTGCTCGTTCTTCTTCATTCGAATCTACATTTTGGAATTCAAATCTACATTTTTGGGAGAGCCATGCTTCGGCACGAATGGGCCGGCTCGACCGGAGTGATGCCACGGCCTCACCGAAAACCGACATGAAGCAACGCTTGCGTTATGTTTCGTCGTGTGAGTGAGGTTAGCGGAGGCCCAATTACTCTCCCCTCCCCCAATCTCCCCAATCCCTGAATCCCCAATGATCCTCAACCTCCTAATCCCCAAATGGCTGGTAACGCACTTGTAACGCCTCTGGTGTTCCAGGTGTCCATGGGCGACGCCGATTGCTTTCCATCAGGTGATCCGTCTGCTTGTTTACCGGATTATGCCATAAAAAAATGAGCACCTAGCTTCACTGACGGACTGACTGACAGACTATTATTTATTTTGTATTTGTTGACGTTTCAAAAGTACCAAATTATGGTAAATGCTTTGACTTTGAGAAAAGCTCTACTAGTTTCAAACTAAGACGAAAACGATGATAAATCAATGATAATGCTAATGGTTAAAAAACTTCAAAAAACAAATTTGGAAACTACGTATTATTTATGAACTGAATGATTAGTTTCAATTAAAATCTATAGAGTATTTGCATATTTTTTTTCAAAATTATTAACTACCGTATATTAAGTTATTCGTAGTAAATTGCATGTATCATTATACATATTATATATATAATTTGATATAAACAAGGCTTATATATTTAGAGGCAATCAATAAATACATTAAAAGTTTTTTTTTGGCATAAGCCGGTAAACGAGCTGACGGACCACCTGATGGTAAGCAATCGGCGTCGCTCATGGGCACCTGGAACACCAGAGGCGTTACAAGTGCGTTACCGGCGTTTTGGAAATTAGGAGTTTGAGGATCGTTGGGGATTCAGGAATTGGGGAGATTGGGGAAAGGGAGGGTAATTGGGCCTCCGGTAACCTCACTCACATGACGAAACACAACGCAAGCGTTGCTTCACGTCGGTTTTCTGTGAGGCCGTGGTATCACTCCGGTCGAGCCGGTCCATTCGTGCCGAAGCATGGCTCACCCACACTTAAAAAATGATTTGAATTTTATATGAAAAAAAACCTAAATACTCAATTGATGTTAGTGTTATTGCAGACTAGCTGTTCCCCGCGACTTCATCCACGTATAATAATGACTTCTGACAGAATTTAGGCTTTTGAATTAGTCTTTATCAAGGGATATTCTACGGAAACGAAAGTCGTATTGGTTTTATTTTACATTTTTAATAGATAATACACATTTAATCACAAACGTTGTCCTTATGTACAATGCAACATAATCTCTTTCGAGATTTTCTGTGCATCGGAAGTTGCTTGATTGGAATTGATTCAGTACCTAGTATATATTTTTTTAATGGGGAATATCATCGTTTGACTTCTCCCGCCCGGATGAGGCGGGAGAGAGTGTCAGACTCTTACCGACTAAAAACCATCCCGTTCCTACTCCTGCACTTCGAGCCAGAGCCCCGGCAACCCGTTAAGTCTTCCGCGGATGCTCTTAAGCCTTGCAATAAAACCTTTAGTCCTTGAGTCTTGATCTTAATGTCAAAAGACGTCATATCAATTTGACACGTGTCGTGTATACCAAAAAAAAAAAATAGGTTTTAATAATATAAATGGCAAAAACCTGCCTCTTAAAAAACGTATGGGAAATCATGGGCCTATTTATTCGAAAAAACTATACAATTGGCAGTAGTGGTTTGATTATGACGTGTAATTAAAAGTTATAGATCTGGTTGTGACGCACGTACTGATATGTCGAACGATGCCTACATAAAATTAACTAGATATTGCTTGTGACTTTGCTCGCGTTTGTGGATTTGGTTTTTAATCGACTTCAAAAAGATGAGGTTCAGATTTGACCTTTATGTATGTTTGTGCGGTATTATCTTGCGATTACGACTTAGACGTATCATAATTGTACATAGTATACTGATAGTTACGTCTTTTTTTCAAAAATAGTAGTATATTATCATTTTTAAAAATAGATGTTCTACAGTACTTCTTATAACTACATAACTTTTATTTTTCAAAACAAGACATCGCTGTGTCCCCGTCAAATTACCTACGTATGTATATTTCTCTGAATTGTTCATTTTAAATCAGAGGAAATCCGCTTTGAGGTACAAGTCTTTCAAAAAACTCAAAAAGAAAACACGCAACTTGAAATTACAGTGCTATAAATAATGTACATTCAAAATAGTCTTATTTTTTTTAAATAGACTCAGTTAAGAACAATTTTTTATTTTATTATATACTATATACTTACATGTAACTAAAAAAAAAAACGCATTTTAATTAAATCGTGGGTTACTCACGTGAATATACTGAGAAAAGCGCGCGGTCGCTGCGACCGCGACGTCGCGCACGCTGCTCATGAGAAAGAACCCCTCTGTGGTTCGAAACTAGTAGAGCTTTTCTCAATATATTCACGTGAGTAACCCGCGATTTTTAGTTAATTTAGTATATCTCACGATAGTTATTATATAAAAACGCATTTGTTCTTACATATACCTACATAATAAAATAATGTTTTAATTCCATTTTTATGGTCACAATATTTTTAAGCTGTTTTCAATTTTTATTCAACCTTTTTTCCATACGTCTATCAGTGATATACATAATTAAGATTACACAGATTACGAATTACTGACGTCACTAAATCTACTTTTTATACGCTCAATAATAAAATGCCTATAGCAATATTATAAAGATAAAAATTACGATTTGTTTGTACGTTTGCATTGAATAGGTTACGAAACTATTGGACCGATTTTGACAATTCTATCACTGTTGGAAAGCTCATTTTTCTGGACTATATATAATAGGCTACTTTTCATATAATAGGCTACAGCATCAGAGCATCATCATCAGCAGTCCGTCACAGTCCACTGCTGTATGTTCTCATTTCCGAGATTGATGATGTATTCAAGAATTGCTCGTTTGAAGGTATTTTAGTAGGTAGATTTTAGATTCACATCTATCTCAAAGATATCATCGAAATCCTACGCGTATGCAGCCAAATACTGAGTTTTAATTAAAAATTATAGTAGTACCTACACATATAAACAGGATTGGATCAAGTGCGTCAAAGATTGAACATTTTTTTCTGGATCAAGTGCGTCAAAAATCAAACCACTTTTTTTCGAAAGACTAATTATATTTTTTTTATATCCTGACATTTTGACGTTGGTTTGTAATAGTTGTAATTATTACCCGTTGATTTTTGACCCGGATCATTAATTTATTTGCGTCATAAATAAATAAACAAATAAATTAATCGTAGTTTCAGTTGTCATTAAAAATCATTGAATGCATGTCTATTAATTGCTTGTTTTATTTCGGTAAATACAAAATACACATTACATAACATCACGCCTTTATATCCCCGAAGGGGTAGGCAGAGGTGCACATTACGGCACTTCATCATCATCATCAACAGCCTATAAATGCCCACTGCTGAGCAAAGCCTCTTCTCACACGGAGAAGGTTAGAGCATTAATCACCACGCTTGCTCAATGCGGGTTGGCGATTTCAAACTTATAATTAGAAATTATAAGTCCAGGTTTCCTCACGATGTTTTTCCTTCACCGTTTGTCAGTGGTGTCTAAATAATCTTAGAAAGTACATATAACTCGGAAAAAGTCATATTGGTACTTGCCGTTGGTAGGTTTCGAACCCGCACCCTCATGCATGAGAAGTGGGCGTCTTAAACCTCCGGGCCACCACGACATTACGGCACTTAATGACACTGTGAAATGTAACACCCACTTTTCACTATTTATGTTATGAGTCCCATATAATAGGGGGTGAGTCTATTGCCATATACCAAATACAATTCCACACTCCGTGCTACTACTGAGATTTTTTAAAACTCAGTAATACTTTGCCCGACCCGGGAATCGAAACCGAGACCCCTTGCCCGGCAGTCGCACTTGCGACCACTCGGCCAACGAGGCACTCAAATACAAAATAATTAATTTAATTTTAATGCATAATTAATTATAAATTTCATAGATTATGTAATTAGTTTTAGTGTTTAATATTTTTTTATGAGAGTAATTAAATAAAAGTCGTTATAAAGACATTAATGTTTAATTTTATGATAAATAGAACAAATTAACAGTGTTTAGCCATGTACTATTAACATATTAACCTTTTTTTAAAGTTAATAGATAATGATAATAATTATTATTGACTGCTTCATTGGACAAGTGGTTGCAAGTGCGACTGCCGGGTAAGGTCTCGGGTTCGATTTCCGGATCGTAGCATAGAGTTAAGAATAGGGATGATGACAGGGTATGAAAATTAAAAATGTAATTAGTCCGTCAAATTAGG